CAGCAGCACCAGCAGCAGCCGCAGCAGCAACAATGTCAAGAGTCAGCCCCTCGTGGGCCTGCTGAGGCCCTCGAGGTGCGCCGCCAATGCCTCGTCCTTAGAGTCAGAAATGCTGTTCTTCTAATTCTAACTGATACCCTTGCTGCCTGACTGCACAACTTGTGGCGACAGTCCTGACTTCGTCGTCGTCGGAGTAGGAGTGGGGGGTAGCATCAGCAGCAGCAGCAGCAGCATCAGCCGCAGCAGCAGCCGCAGCAGCAGCCGCAGCGGCAGCGGCAGCAGCAGCAGCGGCAGCAGCAGCAGCAGCAGCAGCAGCAGCAGTGGTCGTCGTCGTCTTCCTCTTCATAAGAGAAGCGCAGATACTCCTACTACAGTCGTCGTGCTGTCGCGAGGGGAAAGTTATCCAAGAACCTCACGAGCAGCTGCAGAGCATGCTGAGATTCGTGGGAAGCCTCGCACGAGTTCGGGCTGGACCATTTCCCGCGAGCTTCCCATCCCAGCATTCGGTACTCCTGCAACCCCTGGACCCCACTGACCCTACACAAGCCCCCCTGTGCTCTGCAATTCCAGGTTCGCAACAGAACTCGATGCCCCATAGGGGACTGAGTGACACTGCACCCAAAGCCCCACAAACCAAGCCTGAGCTCAATGCAAAACTCTGACTCATGATCCCTGAGCCCCACAACCGAAGGGCATGGAGTCTCACTACGTCATAACACATCACTTAGAAAATCTTTCGACGTAGAGTGAATCAAGCAAGTGGATATCGTAGAGCAGACGGCGGGAAGGAGGGACCGTGCTCCGACACACACTCTAGCACTAAGACATGGAATCGAAGAAGCGCTGCGGCGGCACCACCACCACCACCACCACCACCACCAATGCCACCACCAACAGCCATCCCGACTAAAACTTGAGGCTGTAATTTAGGGTTTAGGGTTTAGGGCCACCAACAGCCATACTGAAATTCAGAGGCGATAAGCCCCGTAGCCGAAGCCTCGAGGTGCAGGTAGGCAAAAACAGGACCATCGGAATGGATCTCCTGGACAGGGTGCATGGCCTTTGGAGGTCGTGACTTCGTAACTTCTTACAGAAGCTCTCCATGTTGTAAAGGAACACAAGGAGCGAGAGACAGAGATACAAGTGGGACGGCAGCCGAAGGTTCACTTCGGCAACAAAACAGGGCTAAGGAGTGTCCAATGTTTTGGTCAATGGCTGTGCTTGCGTCCTATCTCCAGAGGCTGTAAGCCGGATTTAGCCCGGATACCGGGTAGTCTTTACGTACTTCATGTACTCGGGAGAAACATGTTCGGGAGCTGGTTCGGCTCTCGGGCTGAAGGGCTCAAGATGGACTCACCCAAACCTGTCCTGAACCAGGAAGTACCAGAGCCTCAACACCCAGGCCCCCAAGATGAAGAAAGAGGATTAAGGGGATTGGCCTAGCACCACACACTCAAACCGAAGGTCGCCAGATGCCCAAAACCCACACTCAAAAGCCCCAATAAAAACGAAAAAAAAAAAAACGTTTCACCATAGCCGAAGCCACTCATTTACCCGGCGTTCCTGGAAACGGAGGAAATAGTCCAGCAAATGCTCGCTCGGACGCTTCCCTCCGATGCAGCCGCGCTTCCCTTTCCTGGCGTTGCTTGAATTTGAAGGTTGCCTCATCAGGAAGGCAACAGAACACAAAACAATCCTGTTATCTAGGGCCTAGGGCCTAGGGGTAGATTTTAAGCAACTTCCAATTGCATTCCACGGCCGTGTGTTTGGTGGCTTTGGTGGTACTTTCGGAGTCGCAACCGCAAGCAGTGGACGCCGTATTTGGGCGGCGAGCGTTGCTCTGATTCACTTTGCCCTTCACCCTAAAACCCATCAAGATCCATCAAGCCCTCGAGAAGGGGAGCCTTTCCAGCATCATGGCCCGCCATTCCTTAGATCCCAATGGCCAATGCACTCACACTACAGTGAGAAAGCTTGTCATTGAGGATACCTGATGATCAGTCCATATCAGTCCCAGCTTCGTGTTGAGAATGGCAGTTCGGATCGATCTCCAGGCTGGGGACGACACCTCGGCTCAGCGCTCAGATTGCGGAAGCTCCGATGCCAGAAGGTCGCATGGGTGTTGCTGTCGTTGCAAGATTCGGTGTGACAAGCAGTGTTGTGTCTCCACTAAACTCCCCCAGAGTCAACACTTGTCCCGCAGCAGCTCGAACCTCTGGTCCAACCAAACAGACAGCCATGAGCGAAGAAACCCCAAACCCTTCTCGACATACACGCAGAATCCTGACTTCACTTTCAATAGGCTCCAACTCCTGCTCCAAACCTTCGAGCCTCGCGCTGGGCCCTCGGCCCTCCAAAGCTTGTGCATGCTTCCAAAATCCCCTGCCTAGACTCAGGATGTGTTCGTGAAGCCTCGTTTTGAAGCTGTTGCTTTTCCCTGAATTAGCTGCCTCGGCAAAGCGGGGTCAACTGGGTCAACCTGCCATGCTCTCACGCGGTGCCTTTCCATCTTGAGCGTGTGGCAAGGCTTTTCAATGATCGGTTCGCACTCGACACATTGCGGCGTTCGCATGATCCGCAGGTCGCGCGCACGTCTTTCCGGAGTTAGGAGACCTGCTGAAAACCAAAACCTAGGACCGCACGATGCCGGGCACAAAAAACGACGAAAACTGATGACACTGCACACGTATCGCGAGAACAACTAGGCACCCTGAAAGCAAACCAACGAGCGAAACTCGATATACAGGACCCCAGCCCGACATGGATAGACTGTACAAAACACACCGGAACAGCTCAGGCCCGGGCGGTCGAACTGGCCAAGCCACTTGCGGCAGTACCGGGTGCCAAGAAAACCTCGGCACGGCTCGAGCCGTCAAGTCAAAAGATGATGCAGGGTGGGGGGCTCACGACTTGAAGCACGGCAGAATATGCCCACTGCGGAGATCAGAACAGACGATTGCTGCCTTCATGTTGCAAGAATCACCTAAGCGGCTTAAAGTACAGCCCAACCTCCGAGCTCAGGAAGGCTTTGGTTCAACGCTTGAGCCGGTTTGCTGATTACTTCTCAAAATAAATACACCAACACAAATCCTCTAAACTGTACAACAAGATTTGATCAGTCTACAAACAGACTGCCAACGACTCTGATTCAAATCCTCGTCATCAGACTCGACAACACGTGGCAGGATGAGGCCAGATTTGTCAAGATCCCTGAACTGGTGTGTAAGTGAAAGACAGCTCCACAAATAGCCCACGCAACAAACCAAACCGGCGCATCTTCAGGAGGGATCTTCCGTTTTGAGCTGAATGCACGGACCTGCACCTTACGCTCTCCAAACGCAATATGCACAGGCCCCCAACAGCAAGACCGCAGCACAGTCATAGGCACAGGCCATTGCAGCCGGTGGCGCCAAACAGCGTCTTGTAACCTCTGGCCAAAACGGAAATACCGGGGCGCTCAGACTCCGACCGGCATGTATATTGCTTAGGCTTCGAGGCATTGAGGATCGAGCATTCTGACTTTCGTGTTCTGGGTCTAGGATGCACTGCTGTGGCCTACGGGCTTGATCCGCACGCAGTCTGTCTTCGAATCATCGGGCACCCTGCATCTCACATGGTCTTCTGTCAAATTACAGCCTCCTCCAGATTTGCAAAACTATTTCCACGCCATCCGTCCAACTACATCTGATGCATGTCGAAGGCTATGCGTGGCCCAAGCAACGAACCCTGAACAGCCTGCAAAGATCGACCGAAGCGTTGGATCGGAGTTTGTCTGGGGCTGTTGCCATGCTTCTTCGCGATGTTCCAAAGAAGCCGTTCCTGCAACAAAGCATGATGACGTCGGGCTGTGACCAAGACGAAGACTGTCGTGTGCCTACTGCAATCATTGCCTTTGCTACGGTCCCTATGAGCATGGTGATGAATCTGAAGTTGAAGCCCGGCATCTTCATGATGATGCTGATGATGATGCAGATTCCTGTCGACAAATACAACGAGAAGGGTGACCAGAATGTGGAGATGCTGCTGTGCCCACCGCCAACACAATCGCCCTCAGCAGCATCAGAATAACTTCTCCATGTTTTGGAGACTTCATGACGTTGAAAGATTGCAGACTTTCATCGCAAAAACTAGGATTGCGATTGCGAAACCACCACAGTCCAAAGATGACTTTCAGCTGCAACTGAGGCACATCCACTCATCCTCAAAGCAGAAGCCCGACTCAGAATCACCCTTAACCCAAAGCACTTGAAGCTCCAATATCTCCCAGGAGAGCTAGGGTTTTAGCCACGGCCTCCTGTTTCGGAGCCGCTCCGATTATGCGGCACGGCCAGAAGCCCACATAAGGGTGACAGGACCAACAACCTGAAACCCTGGAGCCCTGGACCTTTGAAGACCTGAAGCCTGGGCCCTAGGCTTTGGTGCCTCCGGAATCCCCTCCAGAACCGTCTCACACCTCCAGCCGGCCTGAGGCGTAAGTGTGGGGGGGCTATGCAGAGAGCTTCAGGTTTAGCAGTTCAGGGCTTCAGCGGGTTGGGGTGGCATGGAAGATTGCTGCTCAGGTGGTTTTTGGGCTTCCAGGCGTGAGGCACGTCGCTCGGTTCTTGGATGACTCGGCTCAAAGATCCAGGAATGCTGTAAGAGATCGCTGGATGTATCCTCTGCTAGCCTGCATCGGACCTTTCTTCTTGTTGAGTTCTTGGAAGTCGGCGACCATGACTGCAGAATCCGACAGCCAGGGTAGCTGAGAGTCCGAAGATCTTTGTTCAGTCCTCTATCACGCGCTCGCGGCATCTCGCGCACCGCCGCAGCCCTCGCCTAGCCATGGCCGGAGCAGGAGGATCCGCCTCCCCACCCTTCTCAAGTTTCGAAAAGTTTTCGAATGCGCTCTGAACGCTTTTGCCACATCTTGAAGACATGCTCCAGGTCCCAGCCGCGATTCTGGGCCCACCTGGATGCCATGTTCAGAGACTTGTGGCGGCCCTTAACCTTAGATTCCCAAGAGTTGCGAAAGGACTGCCATAACTCTCCCGAAAGATGCCAAGCTGCCAAAACTAACAAAAACTCAAAATGGCTTAACACTTGCTAGTTTGGCCAGCTGCAGGCCAGCTGTGTATCTCCATAAGTAGCTCATGGAACAAATCGACTCCTGAAAAATCCTCCTTGATCTTGTGCCTCCTGCAAGCTCTGTAAATGTACAGCGTCAGTAAGTAACCCAACGGCACTGAACGCGTCGAGCTGGGAGTGTCGTCTGCACAGAACACAGCCTTGGCCACACGGGTCGCATCTCGAGCCCCCTGGTAGCCTTCAAACAGCTGCTTCAGCATGACATCTGCCGCTGCTCGATTTAGAGTTTTTGCATTCCCAGTTCCAAACAAAGTCTCGAACACCACGCTCTCTTCGTCAAAGTGTGCGTTGAACGGCACTATTTCAAGCACAGGGACTGGCATCGTGTCCTCGACGAGGATGGCTGCTGACTTGTTTCTTAGCTCCACTCTCGTAGGGGACAGCTTTTGCCCTAAGGCCGCCACATACTTCTCCCATGCTGCATGATAGATTGGAATCTCTCCCATCTTGAGAGCATAATCGGAATCGCTGCCATGGATGTCAACACCATATGCCTTGGAGCCTATCTGCTCAAGTTTGGCAACCCCAGGAAATTCCGAAAATCTCTCGTCAGCAAGGTCTGTAACAACCTGCAGTATCTTCTGCTGATGAGCAGCTTCAGAAGGGGAAAGCTCTGGCGGCTTCAAGGACTGCGCCAGACTTCGAAACGACTTCGGATCCTCCAGAGCCTCAGCAACGCGCTCCTCTAACTCCTTCTGGCTCTTCGACGCCGGCTGCACATCCTCTGTTGTCCTGTGAACCTGCCGGTGTTCTCCCGCTGATAGAGATGGCTCGGGTGGTGCCGGAGCTGTCACGAGCTTCCATTGTTTGCGGCTTGGCTTGCTTGGCGACGACCTCCTCTCAAGCTTGCCCTCCTGTTCCAGGGTATATAGTAGTGGGTTCACATCCCTCTGTGTCCCTTTGTTCCCCACTACTGCTTTGGAAATTGTCAGTGTATTTGTCCAGTCACGCGCTTCCAAATATTCGAGGATCTGGCCTGTCCTTTCTCTGCTTGCTGTGCTTGGCGACGACGTTCTCTCGAGTTCTCTCTCCTCGTGAATGGAAAGGAAACGGTTCACGTCTTCTGGGTCGCTGTCTCCGTCATCCTTGCTAAGCTGCGCCGCCGCAAGCTTCCATTCTTTGTGGCTTGGCTTGCTTGGCGACGACCTCCTCTCAAGCTTGCCCTCCTGTTCCAGGGTATATAGTAGTGGGTTCACGTCCTTCTGTGTCCCTTTGTTCCCCACTACTGCTTTGGAAATTGCCAGTGTATTTGTCCAGTCACGCGCTTCCAAATATTCAAGAATCTGGCCTGTCCTGTCTTGCTCCTTGCACTTCGAAGCAACGTTGCGCAGAGGGGCTTTTGCAGTAGCGCACGCAACCCCAGCAGCGGAGACTAAAGGGGTGTTTGCAGTGGCGCACACATGCCCAGCAGTGGCGCCAAAAAAATAAGCGAAGAAGCACTCCTGCCGACCACGACCAACGTGTCATGTTGAAACCCGAAAGACGACATAGACGACAAACTCCGCAGCTGACAACCAGCTCTCACAAAAAGCAGATGCAAACAACCAGATTGCCAAGGAACAAGAGTTTTCAACTCGACGAACGCAAAGCCCGCTAAGCTCGAAATCCCCTCCCTGGGCCAACCTGGGTTTGCAAGCGTGCTGACCAGCTTACCAGCGCCAGGAGCCCCAAAGCTGCAACTTTGTTCGCTGACTTCGACCGCTTCCGCCGGTCCATCCCCAGTCCAGTGCGTCGGAAGGCGCAAGCTCCAAGCCTGAAGTGGCCAGGCGTGGACTTGTCGGAGATGTCGCGTGGATCCCAACTGTTTCAGCGAAAATCCTGCCCACGAGAATCTACGAGCAAGCCCCTTCCCTTGTGTTGCCGTGAGTGAGGATTTATCCTGATAACCTCAAAGGGGGCTGAAGCCTCTGCCAAACCAGGCCCCTCAAAGTGTCCTGAGCTAGGCCGACACCCGAACACCCACGCCTCACCCACGAGAACACATGGTCCAACAAGCTGAGCCTGCGATAAACTTAAGCTGACAAGTTGCCACACACAAAGCTCATGGCCAAACCCTGGACTTGCGCCCACGAAAAATGTCGTTCTGTAACGCCGGGACCAAGTTATGCAATATTCAGCTTCTTCCACTGTGGGCTTGGCCTCACAGGCTCGGGGCCCAGGCCCACAAACATGCCCTATGGCCCTCGGCATAGCAACTTACCCTTTTCCTACTTGTCTTCGATCCTCGGGAGCATGCTGAAACTTCAGTCAACAACACGGCTCTCCGAGTTCCTGCATCCTGCCTGGAGGACTCAGAACCCGTGGTTCAGGGTTTGGGACTTCAAAAACTTTAAAGCCTTCAGGAAGCCCAGCTCTGCAGCTTCCTTTTGGAGCCCCGCCCTCCGCTCGGAGTCTTTGGCCATGTCGAAGGAAAAGCCTGGCAGAAAACACCCTGCAAGAACTGAAACCCCGTGATGCGGATGAAGGGCTGCAGGGGGAAGCTCCGGGACATGAAAAAACTAGGGCTTTCGAGTCACTTTCGAGACTTGCAGGTAGTACCGTACTGCCGTTTTGGAAAGTGCTCCGTGACGTGTTAGCTGTCGTTCAAGATGCAAGTGCAAACACGCAGCCTCAAAAGCTGATCAGACTCACTGGCTCAGTTGGAACCTGAAATCACATATTCAGATGCCATCAACTACCCCCACCAAGCCCTAAACTCCCCCCCAATGGCGAACAACGCTAAACTTTAAACCCATAACGTCCCTCGACCCGACAAACCACGAACTCCAAAGAGTAGTTGAAATGACAACCATACGTGTGGGCCTGTAAGCGCAGGTACCATGTTGGCTACCTGGAATGGGGACGACTTCGAATCCCATTTGTTTGGGGTGTTGCGCGTAATTGCAAGTTTCCATGGTTCATCGCTCAGGAGTTGGGGTGCTTTTGGATTTAGCGGTGTTGGAGCTGAAGGTTTGGGTTTAGGGAAGGCCGTATTCCGTGAAACAAGCATGAACCCCGCAAACGTCCCAAACCTGCAGCAAAGTCTTATCCGATGTTGAAAATGCGTTTGCCGATGCAGCCAGAGTCGAGCTTCTGTGGCTCTTTGATCCTCTGCCCTCAATGCTGCACCCCTAAGCAAAAATCAAGACTTCATTCTTCAGCCCTCCAAACTCCTTTCAATTTTATGCGCACACACACGCACGTACATGCACACATTCATACCTACCTACCTATAGTATACCTACCTACCTACCTACCTACCCACCCACCTAGCCCCATCCATTCATCCACAGGTACATGCACATACAGTCTTCTAAACTATCCAAGCCCCACACCCCAGAACCTTGCCTTGCACCGTCAAGAGTCTTCGACCCCAGCTGGGGGACAGAATTCGAGCCTATCCATGAGCCCCGAAGCCTCCCTTGAAAGACATAAGGAAGACTTCTACACCCGAAGCCCCAATCCCAAACACTCAACCTTATACTTGCCCTAACCCCAGATCGTCCTAGCGCAGTCAACAACAAGAAGACCCGCAAACATTATCTTAGCTAAACGACTTACCGGAAGGCACACCAAGACAACCCTTCCGCAACGAACCTAAAGTCAGAAGCTCTCAACAGCGATGGATCAAACCCGAAACCCTAAACCCTAAACCCCTAAACCCTAAACCCCTAAACCCTAAACCGAATGTCACCCTGAACAGCATCTAGTTCTCACATGCGCCGAGGGAGAGGCCGTGCCGCCATACAAGGCATGGAAAAGCGCCAGGTCAACGACCTGATAGGGTTTAGGGTTTAGGGTTTTAGGGTCTGTTCGGTGGCTTGGAGGCGTGCATGGGCTTGGAGGCTTGAGCGAAGAGCTGACAGGGTCGAGGGATTGACGGGGTACCACTCGCAGGGTCGTGAGGTTTTTGTGTGAGGATTTTGGAAAGCCCCATTTCGGGCCACCCTCGAACCAGAATCATCTCTCAGCTCATCTGCCGATTGTACTTGTGCCTTCAAAACCTGAACCCAGTTACCAGTCTCCTGCAGTTCCTACATCAAGCTTTGGTGGACTCTCGGAATCAAAGTTTCCAACGGTCCGAGCCACGAAGAGAGGTGAGTGCTCCCGAAGATCTGAATCTGCCAAGGAGTGGACTCGCCACTTCCGGCTGTTTGGGCTCTCCTCGTCAGCACGTACCTCCCGCGGGCCCAGTAGCACGAACCGCAAAGTCAATCTGACTTGGCCAAACTCAGATTCAAGCCAGAAACCAAATCAAACCAATGCAAAGAGCTCACGCCGAGCTTGAATCCAAACAGATTCTTTGCTAAAACTCCCGAAATTATGGTCCCAAACGACAAGAAGCTGGAAGCTGCACTGGTCGCTCCAGACGGCTTTGCCGTCGTAGAAAAGCCATCGTCTTGGGGCAGAAGGCCTGCACAACAGGATCAAAAGGTCGTGCTCAAGATTCAGGCTTTCTGTGTGTTCAGCCTTCAGCCTTCGGGTCGTTCCGAATTCGGGGTTCAGTTTTGCAAATTCCGGTTTGCACTTGGAGTTCAGATGTCCCGCAATGACAAACTCCGATGATGGAACCTCAGGGCTTGGGGCAAAGAGCTGAAAATAGTGTAGAGTAGCCAGATTGGGAGCTATGAAACCTGAACCTGATCTTCCTATATCTTCCTAAGCCAACTGGTCAAACTATCCGAACCAGCTGCTAGCGCACCGGTCGAGGGGGACACGCCCCTACACCATTCACCCGCTCCCAAGGTGGGGAGATTGGCAAACAACCAGAGACCACATTGACATCGTCCTGCCTCGAAAGCAGTTCGCGATGCGCTCTCGACAATCAGGATATACACCGAAGCACCTCAGAAAAGTAGGGTCGGGTCGCTCAGGGCTTGCTAAGGTTCAGGCCTAGAGGTTGAGCTTCAAGGCTCTTGGGCTCTGGGAACGGAACGATCGTGCGCAGAATGGGAGGCAAGGCGCCTTGGGAGCTTTTGGGACATGTTGCTAATGGGAGACACAGCCACTTCGCGGCACCATACGGAACCGGTGGGGAGGAGCGCACCCAAGAAGGGAGGAGTGATTCTTGACAAGGGTGGGCGCGCTTCCTAAACGGAGTCAGCAGCTAAACGGAGGAACCTGGGCAGTCGGCTCAATGTGGCAACGACGGGAGGGCCAGCGAGCTCAACAGACCCCTCATGTTGCACAGAACTTAGTTGTCAAAGAACTATGCGTCGGACCAATAAACCTTTCAGTAATGGTTCAAGCACTCTGGCGTATGGGGAGTCCGTGCTGTCCTCTACACGGCTACGGAGTGCACCGCTCTATGTGCTTCCTAACTGCTAATTCACAGTCGGCACTGGCTATATTAGATAGCACGACTTGGGCCTGATCTGCAATCCACCTGCTGAAACCTCCAGTGTCATCCAACCACAACAGCTCACATGTTCCAAGGCCCAAGGAACAGCAAACGAGCATCCAAGGAAGTGACGGAGGATGCGGGTGTCTGCACGGCTTGCTGCAAGCAGTTACCGAGGCAAGCACGGCGATCCGAGAACCCGAAGGGCAAGCGACTTCGCCGCGCCTTGGGGAAAGACTCTAGATAGCTGCATTGCCACGCCTTTGGTTTTCGGGCCCAAACATGCCGCCGAAACCGACATACCTTCCACGGCCGCCAAGACCAAAACCCTGAATCCTCCTCCTCCTCCTTCGTCGACGAAGACCACGACTATACTAGGACGACGATGGCTACCACCTCAGCAGAATCTAAAAGAACTCTGCCGGCACGACGGACAAGCAATGTCGAGTCCCCGGCCCTCTTGCGGGGTCCGAGACGCTGCGGTTCGATGTGGACGTCCCCAACTTTGGCAGAAGCAGGCTGCTGGTGCTCGGGGCTGTTCCATATCTACATACACCTACACTTGCCTGCTGGGTTCTCAGCATTGCAACTGACATCGAAAGTGGTGTTGCTTCTGTGTCCTGTTCGTAGACTGCCGCTGCCGAGGTTGAGGGGGCATTGTTACGAGGGGGAGCAGGCATAGAAAGACCGGCAAGAAGAAAAAAACAACGAAGATTGCTGATGCTGCTGCTGCTCCTGATGCTGACGCATGATGATAATGCTGATAATGATGATGATGATGATGATGGTGCTGATGTTGATGATGATGGTGATGATGGTGATGGTGGTGATGGTGATGGTGATGATGGTGATGGTGATGATGGTGTTGATGATGTTGACGCTGGCGATGATGACGATGCTGATGGTGTTGGTGCTAATGGTGACCATCATCATTATGATGGTGAAGGCTGTGACTAGCCGCGGCCAACCTACTTGGTCGTCATATCAATGAATCACTTGACCACATCATTGCTACTGTCCTGCTTTCTCCCCTATTTCTCGGGGTCTTGTCGGTGCTCTAGTAGAACTACTCGGTTGCCATATGTAGCACATAGTTTTCCCCGTAATAGCCGCAAAGCAAAATGACCAGACCTGAGCTTGGGATGTGCGTGCCTTTAAGCTTTGATGCTCTAAGATTCGGGGCTTCGGAGCCTGCCATAACCGGAGTGATCCCGCTGCCTTTTTGGGTGAGAAGGGTTCTGGCATGCGAGGCTCTGAAGGGCCTAAAGCCGATCTGGGGTTTCCGGATTATCTCGAGACCCAAAAAAAACACCATAAACCCTCAAAGCCGTTTAGTGTCTTTTCGGGTGCCCGGCAGCGGTGGATGGGGCTGGAGATGCGCATCCTGGGGTTTCCG